CGGAGCGTAATTTCATGTAGCAACGCGCCGCCAAACACTGCGTACGTGTGTCTACGTATACCTACCTTCGCAGCTTGCGTGTGCGTCAATCGGCACCCGCGGTCGCCTGCTCGGGGTTTCACGGCAGAAGTGTTGAAGCGTTGTATTTTCATTTCCATCGCCGTGCAGTATGCGCGCCGCGGTGTCAGGGAGGCTGCTCGTGGAGTTACAGGGGTGATGGGCGGTAGTCGCAGGGGGCGTATACGTACGAATGCTGGAATTACGGGTGTGTAAGCAGGTGTAGCAAGTAAGCAAGTATCAGGTAAACAAGCTGAAATTACAGGTGTAATGGTGCAGCGGTGAATTGTGGTGGGGATGTATCATGTACGTGCAGATGCTACAGGAACCACAGGGATAATGGGGCAGCGGTTATAAGAGGTGTGCGTATGGATGCTGGCATTACAAGGTTAACTGGGCAGCGATCGGGACGTACGCACGGATGCTAGTGACAGGGGTGATAGAGCAACGCTATAGGTGCGTACGAATCGATGCTATTTTAACTACAGGCAATGGAGAAACATAAGCAGTGGGTGAATGCACGCACACACGCACGCACGCACGCAGATAGTACCAGGGTATGTGTATGCAAACGACAGCGTTACTGCGTATGAGTGCGAAATGCGAAAAGTGTGAAATGCGATCGTACAGACAGGTTGACGGAGTCGCAGGTGGGATAATAATTTTCCTTTAACCGTGTTTGAGGGGGAACGTTGTCGGGGCGATGTCCTGACAACGATTGCTGATGGCGACTGCTTAAAGGAAGAACATGGCTGTCTGATCTGCACTGTTGGCCAGTGCTAAAATAAACAGACACCTCGTGCCATTTAGAAGTGAACCGAACCTTACCGAAAATTTCATATTACTTCGTCCAACTTCACCGCACGCTACCTTACGTAAACCAGACTTCTTCGTTTCGTTTGTCCCGTATGGTTAGTTATTTCTTGTTCGGTAATACCGCGTTAGTGTGTAGCTGTGCACTCATTTACTCGTACAGCACCGCATGCGTGAGCGACACAGCAAAGACGCGAGCAAACAATTATAGAAGCTTCGTTGCGACAGCTAGAGAGACGACAAGACGACCCATGCCCGTGCCCCGTGTCGGTAATTCGGCATCGTAACGTGAATCCAACGCGAGTATTGCTCGAGCACGTGGAGGGAAGAAAGGCGATTAAAACGATGCATTTTTTATGAAAGAGTTGGGTGGGGGGGGAAATGTTTCAATGCGGCATATAATTTCGAGCCAAAGTGCTGTAGGTGACGTACAAAAGCCTATCCCAGACAGGTGCAAGTAATTAATATACGCTATCATAATGTTATCGTGGCTGCGTAATACCAGCCATGAGATACGGAATTGTAAAGGTTAATATATATATATATATATATATATGATTTATATAGCTATGGCCATATATACGTATAAACAAAAAAAATAGCATACACCTAATACAAATTATATATAATATATGATATATATATATATATAAATATATGTATATATGGCTTTAACATGTTTCTTCTATTTGTCTTCATGTTAACGCGGAAATTTTCTTCTTTCATTACATTGCGTGGTGTTTGTTTTTATTCATGAACCATATATGTAACGCGTAAGGTGCATTGTATTTCGTTACATCTTTAACTGTTTTCATTTTGTTGTCATTGTATAGCCTGATGAAGAGACATGCTCCTGAAAGCTTTTAATTAAAATTTGATACCTCATTCTATTTTATATATTATATTTCTCATATCTACATCGGTGTCCGTGTTCTTACGTCTCCTCCCCACCACCACCCACACACAGCACACACACACACACACACACACACACACACACACACACACCACACACACACACACACACACACAGAGACACACACACACACACACACACACACACACACACCACACACACACACACACACACACACACACACACACACACACACACACACAACACATATATATATATATATATATATTAATTAAGTTATTTATTTAAATATATATATTGTCAACGCTGATTGCATAATTTAGTCAGTAATTAATATTAATTGGTTTATTGGCCGAAACATAAATGTAAATACTTTTATCTACATAAATTAAGTCTACAAGTTAAATGTTACTAGCATATTCATCAAAAATTTTTCAGATTACTGTAGCATTCTTATTATTTTTTTCAAAAAGACGTAAATAAAACTTGTACGTTGTACGTGTTATACCTATTCGACACCGTCACGCCGACTGTATATATTCGGCAAGAATTCACTACCGAAATATTACGTGCATTCAAACGTGTATTTAATCGCTCGTAGAACGCCTATATAGATTCACGCAGCGTGTTAAATATTAAAACCAATGGGGTTCTGTGATATAATATCAGCGAGAATTGCATATGGAATGCAGTTTGTGCGTATGATTCCGCTTAAAAAACACCGCGAACAGTTTTTTTCTTTTTCAAACAATCGATCCTGCGAGCTTCGCTGTCCGGCCAGTCGAATCACATATCTCGAAATTAGTATTAACGCGGCGCGTGCGCGAATGTGTTAACACGCGCGCCGCCTATACGTGATGCTAATCCTTACATGGCTTGTGTCTTTACACGGCGCGTCGAGGGACTGGCGCCGTGTATGAACGTTTACGGCCGTGTTGCTGTACGTGTTTATGCACGCGCGCGCATTGCGGGTGCAAAAGCGGCAGCCATCGGCCTGCAGCCCGGCGCGGATAAGGCCTCGGCGAATAAGTTACCTGGTGCGACATAAATGTATCTAAAAACATGTTTAAAACTACCGTCACGTGTATGTAAACAGACAATGGCCTAACTGTTGGTCTGTGCATAGCGTGGATATATAGTCTTAACGACTGGCGCGCACACGCCCTGCCGTGTGTGAAGCGTCGCGGGCGCGACGAGCGAGTGTTACTGCTCGTTGTTGCCATGCCGGGGTGGGAGAGTTACTACGTGCGCGCACGTGCACGCCACCACGTAAGCGCACATACCCATACATACACACACACGCGCGCACACCGCACGCATCCAGACGCACAGTCCATGCATACACGCACGCACACACGCACGCCACTCTCACGCCACGCAGACGCGCTCGTACACACGCACATGCCCATGCATACTCACGCGCGCACATACACGCTCGCACGCACCACACGCACACCCACGCACACCCATCACCGCCATCAGTCACGAACAGGGTGAATCTATAGACGCCTCGTGAAGTGCGTACGTTTCCTGCACGCTCGAGGGAAAATAATATACGTACGCGAAAAAGTCGCGTAAAAATGTCGCGCCGTCATGCACGATCGTTAGGTACGTCGTCAGAAGACGATATCGTCATCGTCGCCGTTGCCGTCTCATCGTCCGTCGGTGCTGTCGTCAGCTGGTTGTTGTGCGTTGTTGTCGTAGGTCACGTTGTTGTGGATATAATCGGTCCGGTCGTCGTCGTCGTCAGTCGTCGTCGTCCCAGCCGGCGTTCGTCGTCGTCGTCATCGTCGTCGTCGTACCGTTCTCGCTGCCGTGGTTATTATTATTATTATTATTATTATTATTATTATTATTTATCAGCTCATCATCATTAATTATTATTGTGCATGATGATGATTATTATTGTTATTACCATTATTGTTATTTCATCTATGAAGTAAAGGACGTATAGTAAGCATGTAGGCTTGGTGCCGGGGGAGTCTTACTCGTCTGCTAGCAACGAAAAGTCGCATCATAACTAGAATAGCATCTTTCATCGACCAGCCGCCATGTTGTAAACGACTGACCGAGCATTGACCGAATCTTGCACACCTACTGCACACCTTGACACGACCTTCAGCCGTTACGTACCTCCCTCTCTCCACCTCCCCGTCAAACTGTCTCCCCGGCGCACAGCTTTGCCTTTAAATAGAGGTGATTTCCGAGAAATGACGTGTCATCGCGTGCAAAACACGTGTATTTATCGCCCGTGTCACACTCATTTACGATGTCGGGCGAGCGTTGATAGAGAGGCCTGCCCCCTCCCCCTTCCTCCTCATCCTCCTCCTCCCCGCACTCCCTTCCGTTAATTTGTTTATCTGTGGTCGCGGTTCACCCATGCGCCGGTCCGTAGTGTACTGTGTTATTAAAGATTTATTAGGGGCTTTGCCTCTTCTCTCGTTCGCTCTCACTCGCTCGTGACCCGATGTGCATGCGCGCTTGGCGTAATCCCTCGCCCGTCTCTCTCTCTCTCTCTCTCTCTCTCTCTCTCTCTTTCTCTCTGTCTCTGTGTATGTCTGTCTGTCTGTCTGTCTGTCTGTCTGTCTGTCTGTCTGTCCATCTGTCTGTTTTTCTGTCTGTCTGTCTGTCTGTCTGTTTTTCTGTCTGTCTGTCTGTCTGTATGTCTGTCTGTCTGTCTGTCTATCTGTCTGTCTGTCTGTCTGCCGGCTTGTCTGTCTGCGTGTGTTTCTATTTATCTCGTCTCTTAGTCTTAGTTATTATTATATCTTTTAATCTCTCCCACTAACTTCTCCCCCTCTCGCCCTTGTTCTTTCTCCCCCTCTCCCCATTCTCTCTCTGTCTCTATCGCTCTTTCTCTCTCTGTCTGTTTGTTTGTCTCTCTATCTGTCCCTCTGTCGTGCTCTCCCTCCTTTCCCCCTCTCTGTCTATCTCTCTCCTTCCATGTATCCGCCTATCGCACTGTCTTTCTTCTCCTCGCTCTCGCGCGCGCGCGCTCTCTCTCCCTCTCTCTATCTTCCTCTCTCTCGCTCGCTCTCCCATTCTCTCTGCCCCCTTTCTCTCCCTCTATCTCCCTCTATCTATCTACTTCTCTCTCTTTCCATCTCATCCCTCCCTCCGTCCTTCTCTCTCCGCTGTACTTCGCTGTTAGCTTTCATGCGCGCTGGTGCTCATAAGCCTGTCATCTACATGCATGCGGGGGAATCTGCTAACTTGTGTACTCACCCCTGCTGTTTTATGTGATTTCTTGCAGATAAGACAAGAGAGACCGTACTATACGTCGAACGCCGAGCTGGATAGTTTGGTAAGTAAAATCCCATTGGCGCTATGGAGCTGTGCAAATAGCGATATCTATATGCTACCATGTTTCCACAGATCAGCTACACGTATACACACGTTGTTCGTGTGCAATCGTACATATACACATGCACAACACACACGGCAATAGTGTACATACACACACGCGCGCGCGCGTACGCACGCACGCACAAACACACGCACGCACGCACGCACGCACGCACGCACGCACAAACACACACACGCACGCACGCACGC